ATGATAAATATGGTGGTAAACAACATGTACGTAAAGATACGACGCATGCGATGTTGATCAGAGCGCGGTATTTCAGACCAACGACGAGCGGTGAATAAAAAACTTGAACAATGGGTCAATTTTCCGTTGCTATCACTTCATGGTACTGAGATAAAATGATTTTTTGTTTGGCATATTTCTTAACATATCTGTATTGGATTCATTAGTTCTGCCAAATTGTACCCAGTTTTGTGCAAAATTTATCAGGCATGATTCTCTCTATAATTAAAGCCAATGTCCAGCATGGTAAATAAGAGTGGCTTAGCCATCTTAAAATCACCTTTCATCCACCTTCATAAACTTCTACAATTTATGACACACATAATGGCAAAGTACATAATTTCATTCACGATTGTGATTAAGTACTTCAATGCGATGTGTTATAGATCGGGTGTATTTTAGGTTTCTGCAGCTATAAAATGGTGTTACAGTTTGGACGAATCAGTTGAGCATTTTGGGGTTTGTGCACTATTCAATAGTTCAGTAGTGAATGACTTGTTTGTTTGTTAATGGTATTGTAATGTTGGATATTGCTATTCAGCTTGCTTCGCCATCCAACTTCCATCCAGTGTCCCTTAAGGTCTCATGCCACTAATCAACCAATGGCTGCTCGTAGCCCAATTTAAATGTCTTGCAAGAACCAATGAAATTTTTGAAATATTTGTTTTTCTTAGGTGCTCCCTGTTTCAGGGCGTAATCACCTGGGTCAAGGGTGAGACCAACATGTGGTCTTTTGTTTACTACTTAGCGGCTGTGTACCTGTGGGTATATTCTGTGTGTATTTGGATGTTCTAAATCTTGGTGTTTTTCCAGTGATTTCTCTTGGTGCAATCCAAATACAAAATGAACAGTAGATTTGTCTTGTTTACCTGAGATTTGCAAGAGTTTGAACTGGCCAACGTGTTAGTTTTTTTCATATGGTTGATTACTGTCATATTGATTTCCCATTTTTGAGCCATGTTTTCAACTTTCTTCATCATTTTTATATAGCAATCTCGTCATATGTTAACATTGTCGTATGAGTATGAGCCCATAAGTCTTGTTTCATAATTACCACTAGAGGGCGTTATTTATACCACTTTGGATACATTTTGATTTAATTACAGAAGCTGTTCGACCAAAAATGTTCGTTAGTGGGAGGGGAACACATAATTTTATGCAGTGGGGAAAGGGGAGGTAGAAAAATGAAAAGGCGGGCAGAGTTTCATTCCACAATGGGAGGCACTTTCTGAAAGGAGTAGAGGGAGGGCACAACCCGAACAGCTTTGGGGTACCCTAATTTTCGTGAATGACATTTAAAATCGATAGGAACAACTACATGGGCTTTTCCCAATAATTTGAATGGAAATTTGTAAAATCGTTCGTTGGCTGCTTCTGACTAATAGTAATAATAACTTGTGAGCGCATAACCAATACATCAGCGTCATCATTTAAATAAATAATTAAGGAACATACTTATTTCTTGAACCATCAATATATGTAACATGACCTCTACCTTTGTAGTAAATTCAATCATTCAAGAGATACAGTGTAAGAAACCAGCGTATTGCTAAGATTGTCAACCATGCTTTGAAATGTCGAATCGACTGATATGGACCAACTGAGATTATTATTGCTTAGAGCGGAGATATCAAAGTGTATTACGATTTTTCATTACACGGAACGACCATAATATATTGGATACAAATCCGCACCACTCTTTGAAATAGGTCAATTGGGCCGTGGTTATCCAAACATCTAGTTGAGTGTAAAAGTGTTTATTTGTTATATTTGGATGGAGGTATATCAAGATTTTTAAAATGTTCAAGAAGCAATCTCTCTCCTTTGTCATGATACGGATAATACTGGCAGTTCACGTTTGAGTGCATTCGACGCACATGTTTCGCTGGCCTCGAGGGTTATTAAGGATTATGCATACATTCTATCAATGATGTAGTCTGGGCTTGTAGACGATTTTCACCAGGCAATATTCACTGGTTAGCATCAACCAAATGACTATTCAGTTGACAGCAAAATTGATGTCATAGCTTCAGATAGTGCATATTTACCATTGGGACATGTTCGTCATCTATTTTACGACTCGAAACACACTACGTTCCCAATTCAGTATATACAATGGTAAACAATATATATATATTATTTCTGAGGTATAATATAAGTTTTCTGGTAGAGTTTTTATAAGGTCGATTACAAATTTAATTCTTGTGTTATTTCTTGTATAAAATCGAATTTCAAACCCCATAATCTATGTCTATTGTCTGTGATTTCGTTCACATTCACTGCAATATGTCACATTCTCTTACCTTTTATGGGTAATTATTTTTATTTATAATTATTGTTTGTCTTTCCAATCGTTCATTATTCCGATGAGACTTCCGTTTCCATCTGATTAATTACACTTCTAAGGTAACTGAATTTCCCAACCTGTTTTATCATTGTTTCTCCAATTGTTAAATGACAATCAAACATATCCGATTCTTGCTTACAACCATCCAATTATTCTTTCAACTGATTCTTATCTCCTTAATTTCACTTTCTGTTACTACCTTAACCAAATATCGTGTAACTAATATCTCGAGTCACTTTAAACACTGTGTCATTTACATACCTTAAATTATGCCTTCAAAGTATAGATATAGACGATTTGCACTTCAATGGGTTTCCAAAACCAGTTGTAAAGCAAAAATTGATTGTATTACTTGTTTATGTATCTTTCATAAATCCACATTGTTCTATCCCTATTTCAGGTTCAATACTAGCCTTTGCTCGTCACATGATTATTTCAAGAATTATTTGATGACGTGGTTCATGAGGCTTATCGTTTTATGAAGATCATATTCTGTCGCATCCATTTTTTTGGTAAAGCAATAACAAATAGTTTTCTCAGATCATCTGGGATAGATGCCACTGTCTAAAATTGCATTTATCAATTACCCCATTGTGTCAATTGCAGAGTATTCAATCACCACTATTTTGTATGTGCATTAGCTGCATTAGCTGATGTTTTAATATTTCTTTCAATGCCTGTTTTTATCACAATCATCTCGAAACAGCTCTTTAATATGTTCTGAGCATCATTCCATTATGAAAGTAAATGTTATTATGTATTCAGTTGATGTGTACGTTTTACGGCCTGCACCAAAGCAGTGTCCGTTCTTTCGAGGCGCTTAATTTTGTCACATTCCTAATTTTGTTTAATTTCTTTACATTTCAGTTTTATTTTCGATATTTATGTAGTTTTTGTGTCGACACTTCTCTAGCGTTTTTGCATGGAGCTGTCATCCATTCAATTTCTATTTGCTCCTCTTGTTAGGTATGAACACATAACTGTACCTGCTGTAGTAATTGATTTCTTAAGCAATTCAATGACTTAGTTAACACTATAAATATATTCCTTACGTCTATGTTCTGACGTATTTCTGTAAGCTGTTATACTGTACTCACTAGATTATGTTTATGTCCACAGTCTGTTTCTTTTTATGGCGTTTGTAAATTCTTTGCCGATTGCGATGTTATGAATTTGACTGGATACCAATTGCATAAGACATCTGATAAACAACGTTTTTTTAGCTGGGTCTATTCGATATACGACCACGCGGTTATTACAGTTATTAACGACAATATTAACTATTTAGAATGGTATTGATCAACTTTGTGACAATTGTGCATTTCGAAAAATTCAAAACCTTTGGTGGATGCTATTTTGAACAAAAATGTTATGATTTCAATAACATTGGTACTTTTGATTTTGCTACATTATAAACTAACATACCACACAATAAATCTTGATCAGTTTCATTGGTAAAGCAGGTCTTCTATTATAAAAATGATACATAGATATATATTCATTGTCATAACTCGTGACATTTTAGCAAAAAAAAAACATGGATACAAACCATAAATACACTGATATTATTAAATTCTCACATGGACAATATAATTGTCAAGTTTTATTTTGACAGACTAATGGCATTCCAATGGGCACGAATTATGCAACACTTCTATACTTTCCCTTGTTCTGTCTACAACAAATGAAACTAGTCGAGAGCTTCATCAACACGTACAGACACATTGACGACCTCTTGAGTTTAAATAACGATTTTCGAGTTATCTTCATTTATCCCGAAGATCTCACAGTAGAGAACACAGCAGAGAGCATAAATTCAGCTTCATACCTTGATCTATTACTCCAAATACAACCTAATAGTTTACACACTAAGCTGTATGAACGCGATACAATTAAAATTTCGTAATTATCAATTTCCCGTATATTTTAAGTAACATTCCCTCTGCTTCATCTTATGATGTATACGCGCCTTTTAATATACTGTAGAGCATGTACGTCATATTATGATTTGAAGTAAGACATATATTACGTCATATGATGATTTGAAGTAAGACATATATTACGTCATATGATGATTTGAAGTAATACATATATTACGTCATATGATGATTTGAAGTAAGACATATATTACGTCATATGATGATTTGAAGTAAGACATATATTACGTCATATGATGATTTGAAGTAATACATATATTACGTCATATGATGATTTGAAGTAAGACATATATTACGTCATATGATGATTTGAAGTAAGACATATATTACGTCATATGATGATTTTAAGTAGGACATATATTACTAGCTGCAAAGCTACAAGAAATTTACTGATTAAGACCTCCAAAAAGTGTTCTGAAAAAAATTAACAGCTAATCACCAAATATGACTAATTACGTCTCATAGATCACTTATGGCTTATCAAGATTAGATTTGTATTAATTGACATGCATTACAATATGAAACCAATTAATGAGTGTGTGGGTCAGCAACGTATGTTTACTTATTATGAACACCTGGTACCACCACCGAGACGTCAGTGTTTTAGTCTACATCTCATGGACCTAGCAACCTGGAGTTATTTTTTTCGTTAACAAACTGTGTTATTCCCTTCGCAGCACTGTATTCCATAGTTCCAGCCACGTTATGTATGAGTGTTTCCCGACATGTAGCTGACCTTGAACCCCAGTTTTTACTTGAAGTTCATAACTCTCTGCGACGAACAATCGGATTGCAATGGGGAAATGGAGATTTTCACATATCTGATATGAAGAAATTGGTAAGTTAGATGAGTACATGTGATGGAAATAATGTTCTCAATTTAGGGCGGTTGAATGAAAATTGTCATTTTCAGAATGGTTTATAATAACTCTTTTAGTTAAAAATTGGTAAGTTATGTTGTCTTGTACTGAAAGTCTGACATTAAGCCTCGCAAATCCTTATTTAAATCTGTGATTGGTGTAAGGCGCAAATAATAAAGTAATTACAAAAGCATCGTCTGGAGAATTTGGTGCTCACCACGGCTATTTTTTTAAATTGAACATGCTACGTTTTTGAGGAAACACGTGCTTCCCGTGTTGTGTATTGAGAAAGACAAACGGATAACACGACCAAGTCAGCGCAGGATTCAACGACCGCGAATTTGCCGACAATAGCACGAAATCACAATGCCAAAAATGTCAATAAAATACCCCACTTGTTCGACATTTGGACCCCCATACATATGTCTTTACCAGGCAAGCGTTTTCAAGGAACACATCACACACCACGCTATAGACACCACCATAAAGGCTACAGTTCACACAACATCAGTGTATATGTATACATTTATTAATTTAACAAAAAATGAAATTGAAATAAAAAACAACGAAACATTCAGATATCGGAAACACTCCCAGAAGGTTATTCTGCTTTCTGCCCAGAGATAATAATAATCACTGTGGGACTATGGGTTCACATGTTTACTCTACGATAAGAGCTTACCAAGACAATCCTTGAAGAAGATACACATGGAAAACATTTCAATGTGAAAGCCGCAACTAATTAAATCATGGAGATACATGGCAGGCAGTGTCCCCAGAGGCAATCGGAAAGTTGAATCTCCAGAATCCTAAATGATTAACAGGACACAACCGTAAATATTCATACCTAACGAAAAGATGTGAATACGATGAGGTATTATGTTAGAAATCCCTGACAGATGTGGTAGTACGGGTATGATACTACCATGTAACGGCCATAACCCACACGTTCTGGTAAAATTTTGCAAGTAAAACGTAAGTAAGCTGCATGTTTCAATTTGGTTTCAGTTTGACTACATGCTATGCTGGCTTTCCACTTGTTTATTATTCTGATTCACTAGCAAGCAAATTGGCAGTGTTTAGGGCTTACCCACAAGCCACTTGTTTAATATTCTGGTTTATCTAGTCATAGGTTTTTATCTTTTACCCACAAGCCATTACTCAGATAATAGAACACTGCAATCTTTTCATTAAAATCAAAGTTATGCGAAGTACGCATAAAAGACTTGTTTCAATTAGTTTTGTTTTTTCATATTATTTTATTCATAATGTTGCCAAATTACTAAGAATATACAAAAGATATCAGAATGGATGATCTTGTCTTGTTTCAGTAACCGTCATATCTACTCATCTAGGTTCGCTTATGTATATACGAATACGAATTAGATATAATCTTTAAATTATCCGGTAATTACAATAACATCTGGCAGATGTTCGCTAATAACACTTCTACCAATCAAGAATGTTTTTTTGCGGCAGGAATTGTATCATATAGCACGTGAGACTAATAATTGGTCTCATCACTCAATTAACATCGCTTTTATACAAGTAATATACCCCTGGTGAGACCGGGTATACACAAGGTTCAAATGCACTTTGCATCCATGTCGTGAAAAGTAGAGTACCAACGTGTTTCGCATGATAATCAAGGACAATTATGATGAAATACAGGATGTGAAAATTGATTAACAGGTTTAGGTATTGGAGATGTATAGCACCCTTCACTTTCTGTCTATGACATTGATAAAACGAATTGTTATTAACAAGATTTGCTAAAATAAAATTCACCTGAAACAAAAGGATTTAATTGTTTAGTTTTAAGCAAGCTGCAGTAAATCATATAAATGCTATTCGTTGTGTTCTTATTGTCGCCAAAATCACACAATGAGATTCATGCAGTTTTCTTGTTATGCAATATCTACTTATTATGTTTCAAATCATGCAAACTACCATGATTCTGGTAAAAAAAATAGTCAAACTATTTTGGAATATGGATTATGATGTGTTACATGAATTAAAGGATCAGTCAGTTAATGCTATGCTCAAATTATATACTTGCTATACATATTTCTGTAATATAAATATGTTAAAATATGTTCATGCTACGAAGTGGACGAGTCAAGTCAAAGAAGTTAAGAACACATATCTCATTCAAAAATAATCTGAACTCGTATTTTTCAATGTCTAAATTAATTAATTAATTAATTAATTAATTAATTTATTTAATTAATTAATTAATTAATTAATTTATTTATTTATTTATTAACATCAAGATCCACAATAACGAAAGAGTTTTGGTATGAGGTAGAATACATTTAACGATACAAATTATTGACCTGATTCGAGCACGTCATAGCACACCGTTGCCAATACTATTCCAAATACCACATGCATACTCCAGCTTTGTCCTGATAAACGTTATGTAGAGAGCGGTGAGGTCACTCATAGATCAAAATATCATAATTATGTCTAGTGTTTTAATCAAAGTAGAAACTATACATAAAACATGGTTCGTAAAAGTTAACTTAGAGTCTAGTAGAACCTCTAAATCACTGCGTCAGGTTACCTCATCAAGTAAATGTTTGTTGCGTTGACAATTGGCACACATTTTAATGTCCCAGAACAACGAGATTTGAGTAACTTAGCGTCATTTTCCATATGTCTGACCACTTTGACAAGGAATTAATATCCTCTTGCAATTCGATAGTCATTTACATGACGTATTATCTTATAGCGTTAGATCGTCAGCATAACCAAATGAGTTGCATTTAAATCTGCTAAAAATGTCGAAAAAAATACAGAATAAAACAGTGTGACACCGAAAGCAACTAAAACTGGATCTGACCACGGTTACTGTAACTGTGACCTGACATAAACCTTTTCACTACAACTGAATGCGTCTTCCATGTTAAATAACTGAAAGCCAGCTACTGAGCGATATTGATACCCTCGTATTTTTGTTTTGTTTGTTTTATCTATTTTCTTCCCTACAGCAACCCGGGATCTGTTAACACAGAGCCTACCCCGGTATATGTTAACGGACACATTAGATATGTAAATACTGTATTACATATAACTGATTTTAATATGTTAGTATAATAATTGCTGATATTGGTATTGAGCATAGGAACAAATAAAATAATACATATTGTTGCTGGGAGGAATGAAATGTTGATATAATGACCTTTTCTTATTAGTTTGTGCTTGATGATATG